GCACAATGGGCAATATTACTTGCTGAGAAATGTTTCTTCACCATAATCTGTGTGGGTCAAAACTCTTTAATTAATCTGCATTGCAATAAGTTGTTCTGTCTGGGAAAGAAAAATGGGAACCTAGGGGGAAAAAATAACTTAAAAACAATTTGCCATTGAAGATAGATCTTAAAATTCATAATGCAATCATAAATGCAAATCAACTTTAAGTTATCTAGAGATACGTGAAAATATAAGCCTAATCAAATTTAAGAGAATTCGGATTTTTTTTTCCCCAACCCTAAAAAATATATGTTTGCATTGAATGAGACTTTTGGGAAAAAAAAAACTGATTAACCTGCAATAAGATTGTTTTTCCCAACTGTACAGAACTGTCAGTGAACCATAATGGTTTTCAGCTGTCTATAATAGACACATGTGTATGCAAATACCAAATGTGGCTGCCTGTGCACTTTGATGTCATTTCTTTCTGTCTTTTGCAGAGCAGTGTAAAGGACAGCTCCATTCGCTCTCCCAACAGCCAAAAAACAGGCAAGGTAAGAAATGTTAAAGATATGCACTGTTATCTAACCAAATACTTGCGGGCTGTAGTGGAGTGTGATTTAAATACCCACACAAGATAGCAACTAGTGCTTTCATTTGAATTTAGCTATCAGTTGCCCTGCCATGTATTTAGATGTTCTTCACAGACTCAGAATAAGTTTATTTTTAAAAAATAAAAATGCATTCAAAGTATTTTGGCTCAAATGAAAGCTTTGCATTTTACATTTGCCACAAAATATGCTGATCTTGGTATTCTGGAGTTCTTTTTATTTCTTTTACTAATGTTCAGTACTTGTTTTTAGATGGAACGGTCTGTATGTAACAGAGTGAAATAACATTGTGCACCATTGCTTTGAGCAACAACTAATAATATTCTAGGCGTAGCTCTACAGGCATGAGACTGAAGGCATGCAAAGGGTCAGTAGGTCTTTTGCTGAAATAAATGTTACCAGGATTATGGTCTGTCTTAGATAATTATTATAGGCCTTAATTACCTTTCCTTTGGGAAAATGCCAGTTCAGTGGAGCTCTTAGGCATTCAGTTCAGCTATTGGCTATTCAGTGCTCCAACTTCCCAAACTAAGGAGAAAAAAATCAGAAAGTGAGCCCCAAAATTAGGTTAAACAGCCACAGTCCATCCATTTTCACTTCCTTATCAACACTACTGAGAAACCAAAGGCTGAATTCAGTCTTAGGGAGCCTGAGAAGGTCACACTTCTGCTGACCCTATGGGATTGTTTTCTTCTCCTAACAGAGCACATCAGAATCTGGCCTGCTAATCCTGCTAATTACAAACTGAGCTATTTCACAGGCCAAGCAGCCAAAAGTAGAGAATTTACAAAGAAAATCACCTAAAAGGAAGGCTTAAAAGAATGTGAGTTAGGGCAAATGCAATCTGCTATGATATAACCACAATATATTGAATTCCGGATCTGCAGGGAGTTACTCATTCTTACTCAAATGCTAAATGGGATAGGTCCAAGCAGATCATAGTTAGGTATCTCTCATTTTATCCTCTTTCAATTGATATTTCAATCTCCAATTCTGTAACTCTGCATCTATTTTCAGGCAAAATGATATACAGTTATGCAGTTGAGATTATCAGCTCAGTTTCATGCGTTTATTTGGTTCTCTCTCCCCATTTTCTTCTTGAGACCTCTTTGTGAATAGCTCTCAGCCTTCTCAATCCACAGTCATGTTTCCTGACTCCTTCATGACGCCACGCTGCCCTGAACACATGGGAGCAGGAGGGAGAACTTAACTGTTAGCTTGCTATTCAAAAATACCCTTCTTTTATGCTATTCTTGTGGTCCATTTCTCTTATTGACACAGTCCAAATTGGGCACCACTGTTGTGCTGTAGCTGGATCGAAGCCCAGGAACTCCAAGGTAGCCACCATACATGCCTGGATTAGAGACCTTGTTTTAGAGTGCATTGCTGTGGATTCAGAGCTAACACCAAGCCTGGAGCGTATGCAGTGGTGTGATGCTTTGGAGTGCTGTGTGCTACTGAACTAAAGGTATGGAGCTCAGTAGGTGCATGGTTTTCCTTTCTTTGGATGGCTTTTTCTTTTGCCGTTTGCACTACTAACGGCCACTGGGCTTGGTGGGAAGAGACAATGCTGACATTTAAAACTGTTTCCCTAAAGATGGCAGAGGTTCAGAAACCATCTACAGTTGCCATCAAGAAAATGGAAGAGGACGTACCTCCTGCTCCTACCCTTGGTTTGGTCCAAGTCAGCGGTCCTGCTGCAGGGAGCCAGGATCCCAGCCCGCTCCCCACGCCTCCTCCGAAGCAATCCTTCTCCAAGTTCTACCAGCAGCGCCAGGTGAACGAGCTGAGGCGGCTGTACAGACACATGCACCCTGAGCTCAGGAAGAACTTGGAAGAAGCAGTGACCGAGGACCTGGCAGAAATGCTTAATACTGAAGATCCCAGTGCACAGGCCTCTGTGAACCTGGACAAAGTCCTTCCAGGGGAGGTTCAGTCCATGCGCTGGATCTTTGAGAACTGGGCGCTTGATTCTATTGGGGACCATCAAGCTACAAAGAAGCTGGCAGAAGAAGAGGTCATTCCTGGTGGGGATGTGAAAAGTACATCCCTGAGGTTTGAAAATCAGTCAGTCAATGGGGACAGGCTGTCAACAGTAGCCAAGGTATCAGAAACAGACCATGCCAAAGGGGATGTGCACACTGCCAGGTGGCTGTTTGAAACCCAGCCACTAGACTCCTTAAATAAACTGTACTCAGATGAAACAGAAGTGCAGGAAGCCGTTCTCAGGGAGCCTGTCCAGGGAGGTGATGTGAAAGGTGCCAGACAACTCTTTGAAGCTCAGTCCTTGGATGCTATAGGGCGCTGCTGTTCAGTGGAGGAGAAGAGCATCTTGCAACTCAAGTCAGAAATCCAGGAGTTAAAAGGTGATGTCAAGAAGACTATCAAGCTTTTCCAAACTGAGCCACTCTGTGCCATCAGAGACAAAACTGGGAATATCCATGAGATCAAATCTGTTTGCCGAGAAGAAATACAGAGCAATGCAGTCAGGACCGCTCGCTGGCTGTTTGAGACTCAGCCACTAGATACCATCAACAAGGACACTTCCAAAGTGCAAATAATCCGTGGGATTTCATTGGAAGAAGTAGGAAGGCCAGATGTTAGTGGAGCAAGGTGGATATTTGAAACTCAGCCTCTGGATGCCATCAGAGAAATTACAGTGGAAGAACAAGATTTCAAGGCTTCAATGGATTTTACCACAGGGGCAGATGTCAGTAAGCAGCGAATGCTGTTTGAGACTCAAGCCCTTGATTCTCTGAAAGGAGAAGTTTCAGAGAGTGTCAAAGCCAAAGAGCAAGTCATTGGAGGTGATGTGAAATCTACACTCTGGCTGTTTGAGACCCAGCCAATGGAAACCCTGAAAGATAATTTTGAGGTGGGACATTTAAAGAAAGTAGAGCTTTCAGCAGAAGAGAAGGGAGATGTGAAGCAAAGAAAACATATATTTGAGAGTTGTCCACTCAGTAGCATCTCTATGGCATCTGAAAAAGAAATTTCAGCCACCAGTGCAGAAGAGGTGGTGAAAGGGGATGTGAAATCTTTCAAGACCCTATTTGAAACTCTTCCATTAGACAGCATTAAGCAGGCTGATGCTGAGCCCATCACCAAAGAAGAGGAGCGTATTCCTACTGGGAATGTCAAAGCCAACCAAATCCTGTTCGAGACGACACCTCTGTATGCCATCAAAGACAGCCTTGGTAACTTCCACGAAGTCACCTCTGTAAGCAGAGAGCAAGTCATCAGTGGTGATGTCAAGAACTATAAGTGGATGTTTGAAACCAGACCGCTGGACCAGTTTGATGAAAGCACCAAGAAAGTGGACATAATACGTGGGATCACCAAAGAGGAGGTAGTAGCTGGTGATGTCAGAACAGCCAAATGGCTCTTTGAAACTCAACCCATGGATGTAATTCACCACCAAGCCATGCAAGGTGAGGAACCTGCCTTGGTGAAGCGGGAGATCTCCCAGCGGGGAGATGTGAAGACCTGCAGGTGGCTTTTTGAGACACAGCCCATCAACACTCTATATGAGAAGGCTGAAAAGAAGCAGGAAGAAGATGAGTATGTACCCCAAGCTGATGTGAAGTCATACACATGGATATTTGAGACCCAGCCACTGGACTCACTGAAAGGCCAGGAGGAGCAGCATTTGCAAGTCAGCAAAGCATACAGTCAGGATGACTTGGAGGGCGTTGATGTCAAAACTGTGCGGCACCTGTTTGAGACTGAACCATTAGGCAGCACCACGGCCAGTAAAGCTGACCTCAAGGAAACTGTGCGATATTGCAGCCGTGTGGAGATACAATCTGGGGAAGTGTCCAGGGTAAAGGAGTTCTTTGAAGCTAAGCCCTTGGACAGAGCGACTAAACCAACAGTGGTTGTGAAGGATGACGGGAAGATTGAAGCTGGAGCTGTGCACAAGTTCACTTGGCTTTTTGAAAACTGCCCCATGGACTCCCTGAAAGACGGTTCTGAGGGCATCCAGGAAATCCCTCCAGAGAAGGATATCAAGGGGGGAGATGTTGGTGGCAAAAGGTTCATATTTGAGACCTACTCCCTTGACCAAATCCATGATAAGGTGGATGAGACAGAAATTCAAAAGATCCAGAAAGACACCATGAGCAAGGCCAATGTCAAGTCCTGCACAATGCTCTTTGAAAGCCAGCCATTATATGCTATCCAGGACAAAGACGGGGGATACCACGAGGTCACCTCAGTGCAGAAAGAAGAAATCATGAAAGGTGATGTGAAAGGTGCCCGATGGTTGTTCGAAACTAAACCTCTGGACCAGATCAAGAAGGAAGAAGAAGTGTTTGTGATTAGGGCCGTCACTCAAGAGGACATCAAGAAAGGGGATGTCCAGGCTGCCCGTTGGAGGTTTGAGACAGAGCCTCTGGACTCCTTTTCCAGGGGACAGAAATCTGTGCCCAGAACGGTAGATGATGTGCTGAAGGGAGATGTTCAGTCCAATAAGGAACTCTTTGAGTCCCAAAAGGTGGGCCAAAAGAAATATGTGAGGATGGTCAGTGTCAGTGATGTCCAGCGGGGTGATGTGAGGACATCCACCTGGCTCTTTGAAAACCAGCCTGTGGACTCCCTTCATGGGGATGCAGACAGAAGCACTTCTATCAGCACAGTGCAGAGAGAGGACAGCCAGAAAGGGGATGTGAAACGCTGCACCTGGTTGTTTGAAACCCAGCCTATGGACACTCTCAAGGACACAGACGTGACAGCCAGTGCTGAGGCTCAAGAAGCTATCCCTCATGCAGACGTAAAAAGCACAACATGGCTCTTTGAGAGTACACCTTTGGACAAGCTGAGTGCTTCTGAAGGCCATGTAGAAACAGAAGTGAAAGAAAGGACCATGAAGGAGACTTTGGAGATGCTCTGCACTTGCCAGGCTATTCAGCACAGTGGGATCCTCATTGAAGCCAATGATATGGAGAGTGTGAAGATGGTGAAGTATCAGCTCGGCAGCCCAGGTGCTCCAGAAATACTGAAAGAAGAGATTGTGGGAGGCCATTTGCAAAGGATCATGCTACAGCTTCTGCACAGAACCAATGTGGAAGCACAGGGAATACTGGTGGAGGAGGACAAAGAGGGCAAGATCAAAGTGAGCCCATTGCAGCTACTGGACCCAAGTGAAGCAGTTAAAAGCAAAGAGGACTTAAGTGGAAATGTGGCTAAGGCTCTGCAGGGCCTCCTCAGTCAAGAGGCCTCCATCAAAAAGGGGATGGTCTTACAAGAGACAAAGATGGGATCAGTGAAGATGACTCTCTACTCTCTCCTTTTCCACTCTGTGCAACAAAAAGTTGTCAAGGGGGATGTGAAGACCACAATAGGCAATCTGCTGGCTTCTTCTCAAGAACAGAGAGCAACAGCAACAGTCAAGAGAGAGGACAATGAGAAAGGGAATGTCCAGCTTTTCACTTTTTACAGTCCCTCATCTCCTCCCAAACACAGCAGAGGGCATCTGAGAGTGCTCCATGGGATGTACAGAGGTCCACAATACATATCTCACAAGGGGATGAACAGATAGAGAAAGTGATTGCAGAGGGTGAACCAGGGGCCATGGAGGGAGCAAAAAAAGTGTTTGCATGTGAAAGCATGGGCAAAGAGGGTGCATTGGACAGAGAGGCTGTGCATGCAGAGGGTCTGAGGGGCACCACTGTACAATGTCTTGGGAAGCCCCTGAGCGTACCCACAATGATGGGAAAGGAAGAAATTATGTCAGGGGGGCTTAAAGTCACTACAAAATCAATTCAAAGGGTTGCAAATGGTAGCAAGAAGCAACAAATGGCAGAGAAAGAAGAAACCATCTCTGCCAGCACGATGGAACCCAAAGCTGTGACTCAAAGCACAGCCCAGGCCAAAGTGACAGTTCAGATGGACAAAGTAGCCGAGAAACATCAGAGCTTGATGGCTGGAGAAACCAGACAGATGTCAGCACAGCCAGAAGAAAAGGCGCTTGGTAGTGATCTCCAGGCTGCAATGCAAAGCCTGAGACTAGCAACAGCAGAAGCAAAAAGCATTCAGCATCATGTCCAAAGCAAGCTACAAAGGAGCAGGGAGGAAGTCCATGTGGCCTGTAGGCATCAGGCAGCCAGCACACAGGGGACAATGACCCTTCAATCAAAAACACACCAACAAGACTCTACAACCAAGCAGGAGAGCACCACCACTGCCACCAGGACCACCACCACTAAAATGCAGGAGGCATCCAAGACCCATACAGGCGTGTCTCTGAAGACCATAGCATCACACAAAAAGGTCAGTGCTTCTGAGGAACTACAGGGAGGACAGCAGTTGAGCCAGGAAAATCAAGTTGTGCCTAGTGCAGATGTTAGAATTAAGGATGGCCTTTATACAGCCAAGCCTGTGAAAACCTATGTAAACCCATTTCTTGAGTCTGATTACAAAGAGCAATCAGTGCAAGAAGAAAGAGAGCGAGATGTTATTATCAGAGGGGATGTGCAGACAGCTATCAGAGCACTGCAAAGTGCCGCCACAGAACAGCGCCTGGTAGAAAAGGAGGATATTGTTCGAGGTAATTTAAAGGCCACGCTTCAGTCGCTGGAAAAGTCTAACGTTAATGTCTCCAGAGGGGATTTTAAAGCCGCTATGATATACAGAAATGCAGGGCAGTCCTATTCTGTGTGTAAAAAGCAAAATGAGACTCAAGGCATTAGTAATCAGACAGCTGTAGTGGCTTCAGGGTCGCAGGCTGATAATGACTTTCCTCCTCCTCCCTCAGTTGCTGTGATGAAAGCAGAGCATTGCCCACCCTCAACTAAAGCAACAACAGAAGGTGCCCTTCTACAACCAACAAGCCAAGATGAAGCACCAGGATGTTCTGCAACACTACAGACCCCTCTTCCTGCCCTCCCTCCTCTGTCCTCCAAGCCCAGTGATCAGAGTTCTGCAAAGAAGCCCCAAATTCCTCCAAAACCAGAAATTACTGCCCCACCAAGGAAAAAACCTCTTCCCCCTCCAAAACCTGAACATCTCTCATATGAAGCTCATTCTGCCCCTCTAAACAATAGCAAAGACAAATCAACCAAACCCATGCCTCCTCCCCTGCCTCCAAAGCCTCCATGCCTGAGAGAGGCCAGCAAGGCAAAGTCATCACAATCAGAGCTGGGATTGTCCTGCATGGAGGTGCAGGAACAATCAGGTCATGGGGAAGTTCAGGCAGAGTGTTGCGCTTCCGAGTCATCAGGGCACAAAGTTATTGCTGTTCAGGATGTGAGCCCTGACAGACAGCAATCAAAAAACATTGCCAAAAGCCCTCTTCAAAATGCAGAGGAAAAGTATGAGACAAGCGAAGGAGGACAAAGCAAAGTAGAATCAGACATAGCAAAGACCTCAAGGTTGCTTAAAAATAGAGTGGTTGACTTTGAAGCTGAGCATGGAATGAAGGGAGAGAAAGCAGCAGCTCCAAGAAGCTGCCCAGACAAGATAGTTCAGAGGCATATGCAGCTATGTAACCAGGAGGATGGATGCACTTCAATATCACAGTTAGCCTGTCCCAGTGAAGCAAGGACACCTAATGCGCTAGAACAGACTGAACTAAGCACCTCCTCTGTGGGCCACACTACTCCTTCCAAAAGGAGAAATGACATTGCACAAAATGCTTCCCCCAAGGTGGAAAGGGAAAGTTTGTCTAATGCCTGTGGATCATGGAATGGTCAGAGAGTCACACAGCAGGTGAAAGAGAGAAGACAAGAGGGCCATCCAGTGTCCTCCCATCAGCAGCCAAGGAGCTCCTTCCAGGAGCAACAGCAGAATAGTGGGCAATTGACATGTCCTTATGAGGCAGAGATGCCTGCCCAGGAGAAGCCACCAGTGATCATGAGAGAAAAACACAAGAGAGAAACGGAAGATGAACGTAGGAAGAGGCTGTCTGTGCATAAAGAAGAGATCATGAAAGGCAATGTCAAGGAGGCTATGGAGATCTTTGAGAACCTGAGGAGGCAGGAGGAGCTGCAAGAGATTTTGACTCGGGTAAAGGAGTTTGAAGAAGAGACAAGCAAAGTGGATGTGAAAGCTCTGAGGAGTTTCTTTGAAAAGGTCCCTGACTGGGTGGTTCTCCAGAAGGCCCATCAGGCCAAGCAACAGGCCAGGGCTGAGACACTAGCAAAGGAAGACACTGACAGCATCTCCTCAGTGGAGCTGGTTTTTGGGGACCTGGAGCGAGTGAGTGCTGAGATTGTCTACTTGAAGGAACAGACACTCTCCCGGCTCCTGGACATTGAGGAGGCCATTAGAAAAGCTCTTTATTCTGTTTCTAGCCTCAAGTCTGAGTCAGACATAGCGGGGCTCTCTGGGCTTTTCAAGGAATCTCTAGGGAACACCCAGAGCCCTGTGAGCAGCAGCAATATCCGCAAGATCAGCATTGTCTCAAGCAAAGCCAAGCAGGAGGGCGCAATGCTGGATACAGGGGACACAGGGCCCATGGACTGTGCAAAAGTGACAGAAAAGACTGAAGCACCCAAAGCAGAGCTTGAGGTTCCCCGCCTCGTTCATTCTCGTGTTGGTTCTCCCTCCTCACCTTCCTACATCTCCATTGAATCTGCTGCCAGGAAACCTGCTGAATCACCCAGGACTGCACATTGCCCATGGGAAATCCCTTCACCAGATTGTGTCAGTGCTGCAGGAAAGAGAGATGTCTTTGGTCAGGACAACTTTAGCTCCTTTAGCCATCCACCAGCAGGGTCTGCTGGGCATGACCTGACTTCCTTTGAGAACAGACCAGAACCCATCCCAAAGAAAGCTGGGCTGAGCTCAGTGAAACAGCCTCCTCTTGGCAATGCCAATCATCAGATCAATGAGAAAGAGAGGAGCCCTGTGGACACATCCAAAGGTAACTGCCACTGTGGGATCAAAGGAGGCTTTTCAGACTATTGCTCTCTGAATATTCCCAGTCCACAGAACACACGAAGGCAAAAAAGCATCTTGGAGCTGCAGACAGGGCCTGATGGGTCCAAGCTCTATGGAGCCACTCGGACAGTCACAGAGCAGTATGAGGAAATGGATCAGTTTGGAAACAAAATCATCACCTCGTCTACTACAGTCACAAAGCAATCTGAGACCCAAACATCCTCCACGTGTGATGTGGCATCTCACCCCAGATACGAGGTATCTACATCACCCCTATTTCGGAGGTACCTGAAGAGCCCGAATGAAGACTTCCACACCAACGGCAGTTTTCAGGAGCCAGGTGTAGTTTTTGTCACCTTTGGCAACTCCAAACCAAAGAAATAGGAGATCCTGAAGAGCAAGAAGCAATAGCATAATGCAAAAGAGAAAGTCCACAATAGTATATCTCCTGGTTTATCCAAATTACACAAGAGGACTTGTTTACACATTAATAAGTTCTCAAAGTCATCATAGCAGTATTTTCATACAGACAGAATAGACGCAGTCTGCCTTGACCCTGGAGCTGAACAGCCACCCTCACCCGGCCAACCCAACAGACTTGGTGCTCCACCACAACCCAGAGCCCTGACACTGTTAGAAGCACAAGGAAAAATCCATCCATGGGCATCTTAGGGCAGCTTCTTCCTCCTGAAGTGTTTGGGGTTGGAGGGTTTGTACCAGGCTTCTCTGAACCAGAGGAAAAGAAGGGATAGATAGAACCAAGTAAAGACACAGACAACCTGGTCACTGGGAAATAAGCATGCTTATATTGTGTTCTTTTTCTGATTTTAGCACAAATTTCCCAAGAAGGGCATCCTAAACACATATATATGTATATAAACATATTCACATTGATGGATGGGTTAGAGACGTTTTTCTCTTAGCCATTAATAACAACAACAAAAAACAAAAACCAGAAAAAAAGTAATGATCTCAAATTGCTACCATGATAGCAGGGGAGGTATTTAGTGGAGTTTGGTTCTGAGCAAGTACTCAATGCTATTGAAAATTGTTTGAGTCGAGATTTACAGCTATTATCACTGCCATTCCCCTGAAGAAAGATGCAATGAAAAATGCTGTAGATGAAACAGAATGGTTATTGCTTTTCTTTCTTTACTTCAGAATTGTAATTTATTATTCAGTATATGCAAAACCTTATTTTAGCTTTTCCATGCTTTCATATGTTTACTGTTTAAAACAATTTTGAAACTTTGTAAAGCAATTTTCTTTTTGTTATGACTTTGTTTTGTACATTCTAAACTGAAGTTTTTAGATACTTTGTGGCTTTTTTTTTAACTTTTATTGCTGCATTCTGAAGGTAAACATTACCTCTAATACTATTTTGGTCTGGCTGACTTTCTTTTGTTGAGTGCTTGTTTCGTCTCTTAATGAACTAGCTGAATCACACAGTGACGGTGCTCTAAATCACTTGAGTGATTTAATCTGCACCTTCTTTACAAAGTGGGCAAAGCGGTGCAGCAAGTGCAAGCGGTCTTCAGTTACCAGTCAAAAAACTGAACTGCGTCCAAGGTAATAGACCACCCTATTCAGGAGTCTGTGCAGGTGAATGGAGAATGGGTCATTTCTGGGCAGTGGTGAGAGATACCAAGGAGTTTGCTCCAGGCATGAAGGAATGAGCCCACAGAGCAACTGGGAGCTCTCCTGGGGAGCTGTGTCCTAGCACTTGGCTTGGACTTTGGTTACCAGCCTAAGTCTGTCCTGTGGCCCTCCACCTCATCTCATCAATTTATCCTTCCTCAAAGGGGGACATGGGCCTAACTGAAAAATAAATAAATAAATAAATCATATTTTAATGAGATGCTATGATGAATATTTACTTTTTCCCTCTGATGGAAAAAAAACGCAAACTTCCATTGATGATTAAAGGACAAGCACTGGGAAGGAAGGAAGCATTACTTTTTCCCTCTGATGGAAAAAAAAAAACCCAAACTTCCATTGATGATAAAAGGACAAACACTGGGAAGAAAGGAAGCGTTTCAGAGACTAACACTTCATATCCCTGAGTCCAGTTGCATCTCTACCCTTCAGCACCTTCTATTCAAGGTATAGGAAGGTAGATTCAAGGATCAGGCATGTAAGTCTGAAGTGTTTGTTATAAACTCCTGGTAGAAATGCAAGATCATAATATGGATGTCTTCAAGCTCCACAAAGCTTTTCACTGAGATTGAAATTGATGAAAAATGTGTTAAGAGCAAACACAATCTCTCTGTTGATGCCATGACAACGGTGACTAGAGGGGGTTTCTTCCTCGTGTCGGGGTCCAAGTGTGATGAATCCTCAATGGAGGTGCCTGATGATACATTCTACCCTAACACACGCCTGGGACAGTTTTGGTTGAGCCTTCTTGGCCTATAGAAGTGCTCCTGAGGAGGATATACAAAAAAGTATGAGTTGTAAAAGTTCTGCTTCCCCCCAGCAAAGCTTGCTTGTATCCAGAGTTGTTGGTTTTCCCTCTAGGTCCCCATAAGCTTGAGACATTCTGAAAGAAAAGTAGCACAGTTTTCAGTCCTGCCAGTGAATGCAGCAAAGACTGAGATAAAACCAGGCATATCTGGTTTCAAGGAATCTGAACAAATAAGTGCTTTTACCTTTCCAAGTGTTTTAGTAGGATAGGTTGTAGAAATAGGGCAGAATTATTAATTCTGTGTCAGTCTTGAAGATTTTCTTATCCTTGTCTGCTTCTAGTCTTACCTTGTTTCAGGATGCCCCAATATATGATATTTCAACTGTTTTTAAGAACAGCTACAGAGCAGTTTTAGTAAGCCGGGCAATGCAAAATGATTCCACGAGAATTCAAATAAATCCTAATATCCTGCAATGCTGGTGCTTAAAAATAGCGCTTATTGTTTGTATTTCTGGCTTTACAGGCTTTCCATATGTCTCAATGAGCCATTTATGAGACTAATTTGAGATGTGTTTCTTTCATGGCATTTCCATCAACCAGGAACTGAAATACCATTAGGGAACAGACACTACATTATTTCAGGACCATGCATGGATCCTTGAAGGATTGAAAAAGCTGGAAAGAAAACAAATACAAAGATTTGAAACTCAAATACAAGCTGAAGAATCAGCTCATCAGTATCCCAGCTTCAGACTTTGCAATAATAAACCAGCAGAGCAGATGATAGAAACTTTCAAATCTCAGATAAGTTATCACAGTTTTCTGGGCTCTTGGATAAAAGACGTGACATCCTTCATGATGTTTCAACCTAGTAGGTCACTCCATTCTTACACAGTGTTAGGAGAAATCATCATGCTTTATTTCCTTCATTATCTCTTCACAAGAACAAACTAACTGGGAAAATTATTGGGGCCGGTGGAGGGAAGACAGATAGCCATGTCTTGTCTGTACTTCCTTGAATGGTAAAGGAGAAATTTAGCCAGGAATCCAGTTCTCTTGCAGCAGTAGGAATAGAACATGCCACATTTCAAGTGCCAGCATAGCGAACGGCCCTTTCCAGCTTCACTTCAGATGCAGGTCTCACTGAGGATGCTTAGTCTCGGGCCAGACAGTTTTGCACTCACTTTCTCCCTTGCCCACTGATAACACAGGCATTTTCAAGTTGATCCTTCCTACCATAAAGATTTCAACGCACCTAGAAAAAAAATAATACTGATAAGCAGTAAGCCAGCCTTGACCTTCAGCAAGGCAGTAATCTGCAGTGTACTTAAAGAGGCTTCCAGAAGCAATCTGTACCTTTTTTTCAAGCAAGTCTTAAAATACTTTCCTTGCCCACAGTGTCGTTTGATGGGTGCTAATCATCTCGCTGTTTTCCAGTCCATTAGGAAGTCTTATTCCTGAGGCTTAGAATACTTTTAAAAAGCAAGAATATTTACAAAGTATCAGGCAGTGAGCACTTAAAATAAATCCCCTGGTGAAAGAGACCTACACCCTTCTAAAAGATTATTCCACTTGGAGAACACAGTCCTGTAATAAATACACTCCTTTCCACCTAAGAGCAGAGTGATCTTGTTTACTACATGGCTCATCTTTGTTCATGATTAAGGGAAAGCATTTTTTGCATGCATAAGAGAAACACACCCAATAGTTACTCTCTCCTCTGCAAGGACACATACCTGTCATTGGAAATGCTTGCAAAAGAATGTGGATGTAACTGTGATCTGTACTGCAAAATGCATCAAATCAGATGGATTCAAAGTCAGTCCAGTGGCTGACATTTGCTATTGCCAGGGTTGGTACTTTGTTCCATCACCGCTGACGATGACAGGTTCTTGCAGGTTCCTGTCACCTCTTACCAAATAGCCTGTTCGTTTCTCCAGTGAAACAATATCCGTGACAAGATGCAGAGCTTCAGTTTCTCTTTGAGGGACTCAGCAAAACACTGTTGCTTCTCACTAGTGTCTGCTACCATTTTCCAACCAGAGCATCTATCTTTTCTCTGTCTACAAAATTACAATTTCCACTTCTCTTTTACTAGCACTACCTTCACATTGGCATCAGGTCTATCCTCTAATAGATTTTATTCCATCGCTTTCCACCCACTTGGAGGCATCCCAAGATCCCTCATGTAGAGATTATGCTGCACTGTGCTGTTCACAGCTCCCACATGGAGCTGTACAGAAAAGGAAAATCTCCAGGCCTGTGGTGCTTGATAATAGCTTAAGGGGGAATGGCACATTGGTGAAAGTCGTCTTGCCTAACTGACTGATTTTGTCCAACTAAATGTGCTTCTTTTAGGGTAGATGTATTGCTTTCTAGATTAAGGGGGAATGGCACATTGGTGAAAGTCATCTTGCCTAACTAACTGGCTGATTTTGTCCAGCTAAATGTGCTTCTTTTGGGGTAGATGTATTGCTTTCTAGATCCCTTTAGCTGAACTTCTACCTACTATGCTAGGAGTTTAGACATCCATTACATATAAAGACATTTATAGGTCCATGGTCTGGTCTCTGCACCAGACTGGAAAACTTTAGGAGTGTGTTGAGATTACTGAGCAATGAATAAAATTAGTAGAGGGGGGTTGTTGTTGTGTTTTGGGTTTTGTTTTTGTTTTTGTTTTGTTTTTTTGTTTGTTTTTGCATATACCATAACATTTTTGTCTATCACCACTTAAAAAAAGTCTTCAGAGGAATGATCCACTTTTGCAAGTGAGAGCTTCCCTCTAGAGAAAGGAGATAAAACAAAAGATGTTAAAGCCTTCTTATGGAAAGTGGTGTCATAGGACCGTAGAGATGATGTGACCTTGCTGGCACATTCAGCCAAAAACAAAAAGAAAGTGACTAAAACAAATATATGCCCTCAGCTACATATTGCAAGTAAAAGTCAATGTTTTGGTTCCCTCAACTCATCTCTTGAGATA